GGGCGGTACATTTTAACTAATTTTGGGGGATTAGAAACATGAAAGAAGAAAAAAACACATTAAAAAAAACATATTTTTATTTTCTATATATATATATATATAAAAGGTAAATCATTTCAGCTATGATTCAACCTTGAAATTTAATAATGAAGGTAATCGGACCCACCATTTTCTTATGCTGCAGAGTTTTGATTTCTCACAAATCCCAAATCATAAGCTTAAACAGAAATAAAAATCCAATCTTGATTTTTTACATTCTTGAATTATTCTTTTTTGCCATTTGATTCATGTATTTTGATTTTTACAGAAATGGTTTTCAAGAAAGTGGTGAGTTTGATGATGGGTTGTCTGGGTTTAGCAAAGCAGCCCACACAGCCAGCTCATCTTCTTTCCGAAACAACTGGGGAATCTTTATCCATTAATGAAGTACAACGTTGTTGCAACTCACAAAGAATCAAGCTCAGTGATGGCAGATTATTGGCTTATGCAGAGAGAGGTGTCCCCAAAAGCAACTCCATTTACAGAGTTATTGTTGTTCATGGATTTGCCAGCTCCAAAGATATGAACTTTATGGCATCCCAAGTAATCTTTTTTTTTTCTCCCATTAATTTATCAATCTTGGTTAATTTCTGTGACAAATTTTAGTTCCTAATACATGTGTTGTATTTGGGTTTTTGTTGTATTTGGGTTTTCTGTGACAAATTTTAGTTCCTACATGTGTTAGATTAGGGATTTTTAATTCAAGGGTATTTTTGTCATTCTTGATTTGTGCTAGTTTGGAGTTGATTCCCTTTGTTGTGTGCAATGCAATGGATCCCTAATGTGATTTTAGTATTTAGGATCTATTGGATGAGTTAAAGATATACCTTGTGTTGTTCGATCGAGCTGGATATGGAGACAGCGATCCGAATCCGAAAAGATCGTTAAAAACCGAAGCATCCGACATTGAACAACTTGCCGATAAATTACAATTAGGATCGTAATTCTACGTTCTTGGAGTGTCGCTCGGGTGCTACCCTCTATGGAGTTGCCTCAAACGAATACCAAACAGGTAAATAAAAAAATTTGGCTAAAATTACGCTTTTAGCCATTTTAGCACAATGTCGATTCTTGCAAAAAAAAATTCACCTTTTCATTTTTGGTATGTGTGTTGTTTTTAGGCTAGCTGGGGTGTCACTAGTGGTTCCTTACATAAACTATAAATGGCCCTCGATTCCTAATTACTTAACGAAAGACGATTACCGAAAGGGACTTTCCAAATGGGCTGTTATGGTTGCTCGTTGTGCTCCTGGTTTATTGCATTTGTGGCTCACTCAGAAATTGTTTCCTTCTTCTACGGTGCTCGATAGAAACCCTTCGTTTTTTAGTGCTAAAGATTTGGAGGTATTGAAGAACACACCGGGTTACCAATTGCTTAATCAGGTAAAATTTTCACCTTTTGCATTTCAAAAAATATGATTGTCAGTGCAAAATAAAATTTAATTTTAAGATAAGACGAGGGCTTTTTCGACAATTAGACATAACACAGGGGCTTATGTGCAATAAACTATAATTTTTCGTGACATTTGCAATCACCCCCAACTTTGAGAAATATATTCCAAAATCGACTTTTTCACCCTTTCTACTCGGCATTTTCCTTGATTTCGAAAATCGCCTCAAGAATAATCAAGATTATGACATGTATCATGTTTTTCTTTAATAATGCAGAACAAGATACGAGATCGAACTGTATTCAACTCCCTACGCCGTGACTTTATAGTTGCATTCGGCAAGTGGGATTTCGATCCATTGGATCTACAAGATCCTTACCCTAAACAAGAATCAATGGTTCATATTTGGCAAGGCTACGAAGACAAAGTTGTCCCGTTTCAATTACAAAGGTATGTGTCCGAAAAGCTACCTTGGATTCGATACCACGAAGTTCCAGACGGGGGCCACTTGCTAGTCTACGATACTGCAGTTTGTGAAGCCATTTTAAGGTCTCTTTTGCTCGGAGAAGATTCTCCATTGTACAATGTACATGCTTGAATTACTACTTATTGGTTTATTTATTCATTCTTGCTTATATATATATATATATCACAAATTGTGAAATTGATGATCTTTGTAAGTAGTTTTTGATCATTTTTTAGTGGATGCAAAGAATGAATGTACTCTATTTGTTTCAAGAATTTTTTTTAGTTGTCTATGAAATTGTACGTTATGTTACTAGAGGTATATTTCGAAATGGCAATTTGAAATATATAGAAGAATTTGGATTGTCGACGCAAGAACTCAGTTCTCTCTTTCTCAAGACATATTTGCCCCATACCTCTCGGTTATTGGCAGTTGTCTCCAAGAACTGAAGAGAAGAACAAAAGTTAGTACAACATTTTTTTTGGATCACAACGAACTAAGGGTGTTTTGAACTTTTTACTAAACGTGTAAAAAAGAATCGGATCACAACGATTAATCGGCTCTTTTGATATGGATTGGTCCCGATCCAGATTTACGTCCGGGTCGAACTGTGGTGATGTATGTATTTACCTACTGAAAGTGAGGGCAATTTTGTCATTTAACAATGTGTATGAAAATGGGCCTCGACTTGGATTACACAATCTCAGTGGGTTGGGCTAGATTCATAATCAATTGGA